TCATCACAGCTCCCTTGGGGCCTAAGCCTTCAGTCGGACATCCCCTGAGGGCTCCCTGGCTGCCAGAAGGATGTCTGACTGCAAGCTTAGGCCCGATCCCACGGGGAGTGGGCCTAAGTTGACAGGTGGACATCCCCCAAGGGGTCCTGGACTGCAAATGGGCACAGGCCAGGCTGAGGGACCGCCCCCCCTCCCCGAGTGCACAAAATCAGGCCTCTGGTATTATTATATATTTAGAACTCAGATTGGTGTCCGGCACATAGTACATACTTAAAAAAAATAAAAAATGGAAAATTAGAGGAAATGTCTTGCATGTAAATATCTTCTTTATTGCTGTTTCCTTTTTCTTATTGTTACCCTTTCCTTTTCTGTTTTCAGAATATGAGTGATGCTATGGCAGTCTTGCACAAACTACAGACAGGCTTGGATGTAAATGTAAAATTCACTGGTGTTCGAGTGTTTGAATATACACCAGAATGCATAGTATTTGATCTTCTTGATATTCCTTTATACCATGGGTGGTTAGTGGACCCTCAGGTAAGTAGAAAATTTTAAATTATATAAACACAAATTTAGTAAAATGCTATTACTTTGGCAAATTAATTTAGATTATATTTTTTGGTACTTTTTTTTAAGGGAGTTTTTAAAAATTTTTTATTATTTTTTTTAATCAGAGAGGAAGAGAGAGGGAGAGATAGAAACATCAATGATGAGAAAATCATTGATCGGCTGCCTCCTGCATGCCCCCCACTGGGGATTGAGCCTTCAACGTGGGCATGTGCCCTTGATCGGAATCGAAACTGGGACCTTTCAGTCCGCAGGCTGATGCTCTATCCATTGAGCCAAACCGGCTAGGGCTGATACTTATTTTTGTTTTTACCTGGAATGAGCCAAATTGAGAGGTTAAGAAAGCAGTCCTCCAGACTGGTAAACCTGCCCAAGCCCAAGACTTCTGAGTGTCCTTTCAGGGAGTTAGGGGCCAACTCAATTAGGGCCATACCAGCTAGGCTTTACTTGTTTTTTATGAACCTGACTATACATTCTTTTTACACACATGAAAATTTAGACTTCAAGACTGAATTTATATAGATGCCATTTCTCTTTAAAGTAAATTAGTTTTTTACACTCTGGTTTCTCTTCAGATCGCATAAATCTTTCGCCTTTTAAAGTAAATTATAGTTTTAATACAATCCCAAACAAAATCCCAGCAGATTGTGGGAGTAGTTTTAGAATGTGAAAAGTTGATTCTACAATTTATATGGAAATAAAAAGATCTAGGAATAGAAGCCAAGATATTCTTTTAAAAAATAAAAAAGTATGTTTTTATTGATATTAGAGAGAGAAGGAAGGGGGATAGAAAGATAGAGAAACATCAATGTGAGAGAGAAACATTGATCAACTGCCTCCTGCACACCCCTACTAAGGATCAAGCCTACAACTGGTCTTATGCCCCGAGAGAGATTTGAACCAGCAACCATTTGGTGCATGGACGATGCTCAAACAACTGAGCCTCACCAGCTAGGGCAAAGCCAAGATATTCTTGAAGCAGAATAAGTAGGGAGGACTTGCTCTTCCAGATACAAAATATTTTAACGATTGTAGTTAAGAAAGACTGTGTGACTATATAGACAGAATTAGGGCACTGTAAGGTAATGGGGGAAAGGTAGTCCTTTCAATAAAAGGTGCTAAGACAGTTAGATATATAAATAGTTAGCCATTCTAATCCAAGTTAAGACTTGCATAAGAATTTAAATAAAGAAATTATGCAAACCAGAAAAAAAATAGCCAGTTAGATAGCCAATTCAAATTTCTAATTAGATAGCCAATTAGAAAAAAATGAAGTTGTTTCCCCCAAGTAACACGATAAAATTCTATTCCATGTGCACTTATCTTTTAACTGTAAAAAATAAAATTATATAACTTTGAGAATATGTTTTTAACCTTAATGATAAGAAACGGTTCTAAAACAAGACACAAATGTATTAACTATGAAGAACATAGGTGGAACATGACTACATTAAAATTGAGAATTTGTATTTGTCTGAAGAAATTCCAAAGAGAATGTAAATGTAAGCCACAGAGTAGAAGATGATCACAACTTACATTAGGATGAATATCCAGAAAGTATCAAGTGCTCCTACAGGTACTTTTTTAAAAGGTAGGCCATCCAGTAAAAAAAGGAGCAAATGATTTGAATAGGCACTTCACAAGAATGGATATGCAAGTGGCCAGTGAACATATGAACTAGCCATCCGGGAAATGCAAATTAAAAACAAAATGAGATACCACTCTGCACACATCAGGATGGCTAACATCTAATAGTCTGACAATACTAAATGTTGGAGAAGATGTGCATTGCATTCATTTCCTGCTTTTCTGAAGAGAATGTGAATTGGCTGTGTACCTTGGAAAGCAGTTTGAAGTTATCTAGTAAAGGTGAGGATAAGGATATCCTAATATTCAGAAATTTGACAATGCATATCCTAGAGAAATTCTTGATATGTGGAACAAGATAAGTGTACAAGAATATTCATAACAGTATTATTTGTTGTAGTCCCAACTGAAAACAACTTAGGTAGCTGTCAAAAGATGAAATATTATAGAACAATGAAAAAGAACAGTTGCATACAACTACCTAGCATATTATGTATTTGATTACATGGTTTATTGTTTGTGTTTGTTCCAGAATATAAACTTTATGAAAGCATAGAACATTTGTTTTGTTCTCTGCTGCATCTGCAATTGCTCTAACAGCACCTAGTATATAGTAGTGTATAAAAGGCACCCAAATGAATTAATTGAATAAAATATTAATACAGAGACTCAGCCTATGAAAACTTGAAATTTTGTATTGTTCATTGTTAGTATATAGAAGTAAAATTGATTTTTGCACATTGATCTGGTATTTGTTATTCTAGTTGTATTTTAGTGGATTCCTTAGGGTTGAAAATTCAGGTTCTTTGGAAAGACAACGAAGTTGCCTCACTAAAGAAATGCTCTAAACAGTGTAAGTGTTAAGAAAAAGACTGAAGCTCTAGCTGGTTTGGCTCAGTTGATAGAGTGTCGGCCTGCAGACTGAAGGGTCCCAGGTTCGATTCCAGTTAAGGGCACATGCCCGGGTGGTGGACTCGATCCCCAGTGTGGGGCGTGCAGGAGGCAACTGATATTCTCTCTCATCATTGATGTTTCTATCTCTTTTTCCCTCTCCCTTCTTCCTCTCTTAAATCAATAATATATATATGTATGTATATAGATATGTATATGCATATATATATGTATGTATACACACACACGTATGTGTGTGTGTGTTTAAAAAAAGAAAAAGAATGAAAATCTAAAAGAACGGTGCCCTCCATTTGCTTCTTAAGGGTTTAAGTTTTCATTTTAAATGTATCAAAGCTGGAAGTCATACTCTTTTGTGTGGTTTACATAGACTCATAACCAAAAGATCTTCTTTCAAAGAAAAACCTTATTTTATTCTGCATCAAAAGATTGACAAGTAAATACATTTATGTGCTTTTAGTTGATATGAAATGTTTTAGATTTGTATGTAACATTTTCCATAATTCACTGCTTTGACTTTTTCAATTTACTGGCCTTCTCAACCAACCATCAGTTCCACTTGCATGGTTAAGAGGCTTTTACAAAACATGGTAGAATTTTGCAGGAATCCTATATAATGAAAGCCTAATATGCTAAGTGTCCGGTCGTCCGTTCAATCAATCAAAGCGTAATATGCTAATGATATGCTAAGGCTGCTCACTTGCTATGATGTGCACTGACCACCAGGGGGCAGACAGTAGGCCGGTTGACCAGTCACTATGACATGCACTGACCACCAGGGGATAGACACTCTACTGGTCGACCAGTGGCTATGACGTGCACTGACCACCAGGGGGCAAAAGCTCTGGTAGATTAGCTTGCTGCTGGGTAGATAGCTTGCTGCTGGGGTCCAGCCGATTGAGACTGAGCGAGATGGGCTGGACATGCCCTGGAGCCCTCCCCTGGTCCTTCCCTGGCTGGCCAACCTCCCTCATCCCTCCCTGGCCCTGATTGTGCACCGGTGGGGTCCCTCGACCTGTGGCTTGTGCCCTCTCGCAATCCGGGACCCCTCAGGGGATGTCAGAGAGCCAGTTTTGGCCTGATTGCACAGGCCAGGCCTAGGGATCCCACTGGTGCACAAATTCGTGCACCAGGCAAAAAGAAATAAATTATAGCTTAGAGCAGAGCAGTTGTTCTTCAATTTTGCTATTCAGCAGTGGAATAAAACTTAGATAATTGAGAAGCAACTTGAGCCTGGAATTCTTTTAAATCTTTTTTAAAACTTAATTTTAGAGAGGGAGGATGGGGTGGAGGAGAGAAAGAAACGTCCAGGTGAGAGAGATACATCAACTGGTTGCCTCTCGCATGAGCCCCGACCTGGGATCAAACCACAACCTAGGTATGTGCCTTCACCGGAATCAAATCTGTAACCTTCCAGTGCACAGATGACACTTCAACCAACTGAGCCACACTGGCCAGGGCCTAAATCTTTTTTTTTTTTTTAATATATTTTATTGATTTTTTACAGAGAGGAAGGGAGAGAGAGATAGTCAGAAACATCAATGAGAGAGAAACATCGATCAGCTGCCTCCCTCACAACTCCCACTGGGGATGTGCCCGCAACCCAGGTACATGCCCTTGACCGGAATCGAACCTGGGACCTTTCAGTCCGCAGGCTGACGCTCTATCCACTGAGCCAAACCGGTTTCGGCAAGGGCCTAAATCTTTTTAATAAGCTTCCCAGTTTGGGAACTACTGTCCAGAGTATTTCTTGTGCAGATATATGTTAAGACTTATGTTCAAAGAGTAAGTATTCAAGAAGATCATTTGGATGTTGAAAGAAAATATCAGCCCTCTTATTTTTTATATCATTGCATTAATTTGTACTTGTTTTATTATGGATATATTATATTAATACAGTAGTACATGTAAATCATTTATAAAGATATTTTAGGGATGGGAGGGCAAACAAAATAAGTTGTTGAGACAGCAGAAATCTATTTTTTCTTCAATAATCAAAACAAAGTATAATGGAGAGAGAGTAGAGATGCCCAATTTTATATTCCTATAACTTAAAATCACTTTTCTAGTGAACCTCCAAAGACAAATATTAAATAAGAATCATTAGCCAAAACCGGTTTGGCTCAGTGGATAGAGCGTCGGCCTGCGGACTGAAAGGTCCCGGGTTCGATTCCGGTCAAGGGCACGTACCTGGGTTGCGGGCACATCCCCAGTAGGAGATGTGCAGGAGGCAGCTGGTCGATGTTTCTCTCTCATCGATGTTTCTAACTCTCTCTCTCCCTTTCTCTCTGTAAAAAATCAATAAAAATATATTTTTTTTAAAAAAAAAAAGAATCATTAGGCAAAAACTGTCCCTGATTAATATACATTAACTTTTCTTCAGAAAAATAAAGTTAGTTATGTCTACTCATTTTCACTATACTTGGCTAGGAAGTAAATTCTATATAATAAGAAGCTAATATGCAAATCAACCGAATAGCGGAATGACTGGTTGCTATGACGTGCACTGACAACAAGGGAGCAGATGCTCAATATAGGAGCTGCCCTCTGGTGATCAGTGCACTCACACAGGGCGAGCGCTGCTCAGCCAGAAACTGGGCTCACAGCTGGCGGTGGCAGGAATCTCTCCTGCCTCCACAGCAGCGCTAAGGATGTCTGACTGCCAGCGGGCCTAAGCTGTCAGTTGGACATCCCCTGAGGGCTCTTGGACTGCGAGAGGGCGCCGGCCAGGCTGAGGGACACACACACCCCCCGCGCCCCCTAGTAATAAATAAAATGGGAAAACTTTAATCTCATAAATTCGCATCTTTATATTTGCCCTGCTTTAAATGCAAAATATTTGTATTTCAGAAAAGAAAAAAACTGAGCTTTTCTTATTTTTCCTCCTTAAATGGTTTATATTTTATTTTAATCACTTAAATGCATATTTACAACCTTAGGAAATAAAGTTGCATGTAATAAACCCATTTAATTATTTTTTGCATAATTGACATACAAATGAGCACTATTTTTCTTTTTTTAAAAATATTTTTTATAATATAGCTATAAACAAAACAGTTGGGTGTTAATTTTAGTGTTGATTTTTTCATAAATAATATTTGTATCTTTAGTATTGTATTAGAATAAAACCCTAAAGAGTGATATTGGTTTCTTTGTTATTGTTTTTAATCTTATCATGATTAGTAAGACAGTCATTTGTTTTCTAGATTGATGACATTGTAAAAGCTGTTGGTAACTGCAGCTACAACCAACTAGTGGAGAAGATCATCTCTTGTAAGCAGTCAGACAATAGTGAGCTGGTTAGTGAAGGTGGGTGAGTGCTGCTATTACCTGACTTATTCTTGGCAAAATAAATTGTCTGATAATTTAAGATCTTTCTAATGTCTTAAAACAGAAGTGTTGCCGCTTTTATAGGAATTAAGTACTTTTTCATAAAGGTGCCAGTGAAAGGTTTTTCCTAGAAACCTTTTCACTTGACTTGTACAATGAGGCCTGGATTTTAATAAAGGACTTTAGAATCTCTTGTTAGCTTTTTTTAATCCTCACCGGAGGATATTTTTCCATTGATTTCTTAGAGAGAGGAAAAGACAAGAGAGAAATATCGATGTGAGCGAAACACATCGATTGGTCGGTTCCTGCCCGGGCCACGGAGGATCCTGCAACTAAGATACATGCACGTGACTGGAATCAAACCCGGGACCCTTTGGTCTGCAAGCCGATGCTCTATCCACTGAGCCAAACCAACTAGGGCTCTCTTGTTAGCTTTGATACGGTAAATTATCAGGGGTAACTGATAATTGCTTTTTTAAAAAAATTATTATTATTTGGGAGTACTACGTGAACTTGATAATTCATTCTGGACACTTCAGTTGACTGAGAAGAGTATCATGGTACTCAGTGTTCATTTTAGTAGGGCTATGCCTTATGTTTCAGTATAACATAGTATAGTAAAGCTCCATTCTTTTTTTTAAAATATATTTTTTATTGATTTCAGAGAGGAAGGGAGAGGGAGAGCGAGAGAGAGAGATAGAAGCATCCATGATGAGAGAGAACCATTAATCGGCTGCCTCCTACATGCCCTGCACTGGGAATCGCGCCTGAAACCCAGGCATGTGCCCTTAATTGGAATCGAACCCAGGACCTTTTATTCCACAGGCCGGTGCTCTATCCACTGAGCCAAATCAGCTAGGGCTAAAGCTCCATTTTTTTTAAAAAATATATTTTATTGATTTTTTACAGAGAGGAAGGGAGAGAGATAGAGAGTCAGAAACATCGATGAGAGAGAGACATCGATCAGCCGCCTCCTGCACATCTCCCACTGGGGATGTGCCCGCAACCCAGGCACACGCCCCCGACCGGAATCGAACCTGGGACCCCTCAGTCTCCAGGCCGACGCTCCATCCACTGAGCCAAACCGGTCTCGGCTAAAGCTCCATTTTTAAAGTATACCTTTGATCATTCACTTAACCTAATCCTTAACTAATTAAAATTGCTAAATTCATCGCCATAGAAGCAATTTCATATTTTTCAGCTGTGTTTCAGTCAGTGAAGGGAAGGAGAAGAATGCTGTCAGGAGCCATAGCATTTGGATATACCTTCCCCACCACCCACTTCCCTTTTTCATAAATATGTTCAAATACTGAGGTTGCTATTCTCTGTTTGTAGGATAAATAAAAGGAAGAAAAATCATAAGTAGGGAGTGAGCTTCATTTTTTTTAGACACACAATTCTTTTACATGTGGTATACATTATATATTATTATAATATATATTACTATTATCATTTTTTAAAAAAATAAAAACTAAGTTACTACAAGAGTATATGAGAACATATAAAAGAAGACATGTACATGAATCCCATACTATATTGATCAATCAGCACCCAACTAATTTTATTACTCCATTATCCGAGTTTAGCAAGAGGCAAGTAGCAAGAAAACACACAGTATTTTAATTGAGGCTTATCTTAGTCTTCTACTTGCCTTAAACACATAAATAAATATACAAGGATATTAGTCATTGTTCTGTATGACAGCTATTTCACTACAACCTAAGGCAGCAAAGTTTAAATTTTAGGGGGGAGAGAAGCAATAAAATATTTGTTAAAAATATTTTCTCTAGCTCTAGCTGGTTTGGTTCAGTGGGTAGAGCATTGGCCTGGGGACTGAAAGGTCCCGGGTTCAATTCTGGTCAAGGGCACATTCCTCAGTTGCAGGTTCCTCCCCGGCCCAGGCCTGTGCAGGAGGCAACTAATCGATGTGTTTCTCTCACATCTCTATTTCTCTCTGTCTTTCCCTCTCTCTTCCACTCTCTCTAAAATTCAATGGAAAAATACCCTCGGGTGAGGATTTTAAAAAAAAAGAAGGAAAGAAACAGAAGACAGATCGATAGCCCTAACCAGTTTGGCTCAGTGGATAGAGCATTGGCCTATGGACTGAAGGGTCCCAGGTTCGATTCCGGTCAAGGGCATGTACCTTGGTTGCGGGCACATCCCCAGTTGGGAATGTGCAGGAGGCAGTTGACTGATGTTTCTCTCTCATCAATGTTTCTAACTCTCTGTCCCTCTCCCTTCCTCTCTGTAAAAAAAAAATAAATCAATAAAAAATATTTTTAAAAGAAGAAAACAGATTGATAAATTACATTAAAACATTTTAAAAAAAACAAATATTTTCTCTCACTAGAACTTACTCAAGCTCTATACACAACAAATGTACAACAACAACAAAAGCTCTAGTACCTTTTTCACTTCTCCTTTTTCTCAACCTGATGTTGCTATTATTATTATTATTATTATTAATTCTCTGACATTGATTTCCCAGGATAATGAAAACCAATAGCTAACTTATATTGTATTGATAACTTGAGAAGAACATCTTGTTAAAAACAAGGAAGGAATTATCTTTTTTAATGGTATAGAATTTTTGGGTAATATATACCAGAATTGATTAAATTTATTGGCATATACATTTTGTAGTGATGAAATTGTGCATATCAGATTCCCGTATCAAGGAATAATTATATATAGAATTCACTATAATTAAAAAACTAAACTAGTTTTTCTTTTATAAGAAACAACAAGTGTGTAGTCTACTTGAAATAATTGTTTAACTCCAATTGTTACTTGTATAAGGCACTGAGAAATCAATACTAATAAGAGTTTATGCTAATTAGGCAAAAGTCCATCCAGACAAAGCCACAGTGGCTGCAAGGCCCGGGGCTCACGACAGCCGTGGGCTCAGGCAGTCATGGGCTCAGTTAGCTGCGAGGAGAAACATCTCCTGTGGGCTCAGGCAGCCGTGAGCCTGGGCAGCTGGGAGGCCCGGGCTCAGACTTCACAGCTGCCACGGTCGGCGGCAGCAGCAGCAGCAGCAGGGTGAACGGGACAGTGCCTTCCCCTGATCAGCCCGGTCACCTCCCACAGAGGGAGGCCAGATTGCAGCTTAGGCCCACTCCCATGGAGCAGGCCTAAGCCATCAGTAGGACATCCCCTGAGGACTCCCAGACTGTGAGAGGGGACAGGCCGGGCTGAGGGACCTCTTCCCTGCACCCCGCACCCCCAGTGCACAAATTTTCATGCACCAGGCCTCTAGTCTGTAATAAAAGTGTAATAAGCTAATTACTCCAGACTTCCTTCCACACTACCTTCTGGACGAAGCCAGGGCTGCGAGGGAAGCCTGGGTTCTGGGTGCCAGAGGGAAGCTGGTGCCAGCAGCTGGGGGAAGGAAGACCTATTCTTACATGAATTTCATGCATTGGGCCTCTAGTCATATATAAAAGAAGAGGTCACAATGGACATTTTTACTTATAATGTAGCAGTTAGCTTCCCTCCATCATTTTCTTCATATTTTCTTGGGTATAGTTTTCAACTGAAGTAGTAGTTTGCTCTCTTTTCTATTTAGCCTACAACTGTAATTTTCCTTTTGAATTAATAAAATATCCAAAAGGTGATTATATTTTAGATATAATGCCTGAACCCACACAAAAATTATTTTTCTGACATTAGTGTTTGAAAATATCTCTTAGTTTCAGAAATTCAATACTAAATTAGTTTATCAAATTATTTTCCTTTATTACTAAAGAGCTATTAGAGAAGATGAAAGTACTGAGTGCCTTAAAGGATGTGAAGTTAAAAAGAGGGATACTAAAATTAGGCAAAAAGGAACAAAAAGAGGTAAGGTAAAAGAAAACTTGGCTTATTTAAAAACAGTATGATCACATAAATCTTACAAGTCATCATTTATAACATCAATCTAACACTTTTATAAACAGCATTTATTATACAGAGTACTGAGAAGAGAAATATTTACAGCCGCTCGTGTTCATTAATGCATCTGTTCTTTCCTGCAGTCCTGAGAAGGAGGAATGTGTCTGGCACAAATACAAATTCTGGATTTACAAATTAGAAAACCAACAGTTTAAAAAACATTTTTACTTTTCTGGTAGAAATATAAAACCTGTGGTTTATGGGGAATGAAAGCAAACAAAATTAAAAGTCCAGTCAATTGTAGAGGTGGCTTTAACACCAAAGTTTTGTTTCTTAAACCAATTTTTCAACAGCAGTAAGAGTTTAAAATCTAAATCTAAAATCAAAGTAGACTGTCAGCAGAGTGCAGCCATTACAGTAAGACAGGCGCATGTGCAGGCTGCAATCCACACAGACCCAGGCTACCCTCAACACCACCACTTAAATGTACCAAAATTGATGAGTTTTTAAAACTAGAGGGTGGGAGGGCAAAACAGCCATTACATTGTCTTCCTGAAGTCCTTGAGGATAGAGTAGATGTTTTCAAAGTCTTCATAAACTTCTGCTCTGACTTTAGCAACTGTTAATACAACTTTTCCCAAAACAAAATAAGGAGAACAATTCCGGGTTTGATCATCCTGTAGATTAAACCAGGAAATAACTCTGGCTCATAACTACTGAACTGTTGGTGGGTCAACTTGCAGCCTTCTAACCTTGTGGAGAACTTCACATTGCAACTCCACACCATGTTCTGTATCTTGAAGCCCAAAAACTTGGCTGGGAAACCCAACTCTGTACAACTCTGGCATACTTTCTTCCTGCTAGTCTGGACCGGTTTTCATTCCTGGCATGGGTGCCCTCCATCTTCCCAGAATTGAAGATCAGGGCTGTGGTCCGGGGCTCCTTTATTCTCATGATCACAGTAGCATACCACTTGGAATTATATGCAGTATTTCAGGGACGAAGTGCAATGGTCTTTAGGTCAAGTTTACAACCAAGATTCACTGTGGATACAGTATTTTGCAGCTGTGGCATGATCTCCGAGCTCTCAGAGGGCTGTGTGGTGGGGTTAGGGGTAAAGGGTACAGGTTCGTGGTGCCCGGCATGGCTGCAGTCGTTAGAGTCTGTGAGTGGAAGAGCTAAAGGTCTGTCCTGAGGCTCCTGATTCACCTGCTGGGCCTTCGCTGCTGCCCTTGCTGCTCCTCCAGAACGGACAGACTGTTGGTGTTCTGAATGGGCTGTGGAGTCAGCCCTGTGCCATACGGCATCATTGGGCTAAAGCTAGGGATTCCATGAGTCATGCCCTCAGGAGAGGCCAGGACTTGAGTGTAGGGTGGCTATTGTTCTGATCCATGGCGACCTTTGCATTGGAGCTGCCTTGGCAGCCAGTCTTCCCCAGAGCATCCCCAGCGGAACTTCTAAGCAACTTCCTCAGCTCCCAGGGTTATCTTCAGACCAACAAAGTGAGGCTGCTTTGGAGTCACTGCAAATAGGAGCACCCACCCTGGAAGGCCTAGTCACATGGCCAGCGGCCCAGGCACGCACCATGGCAACCCTTCCCGACCCCTCTCAGGAAAATAATTTCTAATTTAAATTTATTTTCAGTGATATTATCTTATTGTTACCATTAGATTAATTTTCACCCTACTTTATTATCATTAATAACAAAATTGAAATTTAATCTAAATATTGCAAATAAACTATTTGTCATTTGAAGCAATGCAGATAAATAAACTGCTATGTAATGCTTAGAATTGTTTGCCAAAATTTGTTTAATTAGTTATGAAAAGTTGAAACTAGATTAGGTTTTTTAATATTCCACTAAAATCACAGGAGTGTCACTGTTTAAGAGTTGGTAGAAGAATTAGGAAACATTGCTCTCTGTATGTCCAAATTACCCTGCTTTATGGTTTGGGAAGAAATACAATTCAGTTTGCATTTATAATAATAAGCACTAAATTATTTATTATTATTATTCGTATTTGTATTTGTATTTGTCTTATTTTGAAAGAGAAAAGGAGAGAGAGAGAGAACCATTGATGTGAGAGAGAAATACCGATTGGTTGCCTCCACATGCACCCTGACTGGGATCAAACCTGCAACCGGGTATGTGTACTTTTGGTGCATGGGACGATGCCCAATTAACTGAGCCACACCAGCCAGGACATAAGCACTAAATGTTTAAACTTAATACCAACAATTCTCCTGCGTTTCAGTCTTTCCCATAAGTAAGTTTGTCCTTGAGAAAGTCGTTCTCTCTGAGCCTCTGTCCTGTTCTATAGAAAGAAGTCAAGAAAGACCTTCCTAGTGTTGAATTTTTCAGAGAGAATGTGCTGTATTTCCATTGAATGTTTGTGTCTTCGTGAAGGATTTGTAGATGCATATTGGGTGAGTGAGTTGTGGAAGCCCATTTAGAAACATCTTTCTGAAGGGAAGGGTTTGGTAACGCAGCAGTGGTGCCTCTCAGCACAGGCATCTACTTACTTTTAAAATGCTATATAACATTAAGTGCTTTAGTATATAACACACCCATTCTACTCAGTAATTTAGTACTTAGCAAAGTAATAATAGTAATTGAGGGAGGTGCCTATTTCTAAATGTATAAACCTCAGAAGTTGCAAATGTGCTATAGATTTCCTTTGGCTGTGGCCTTCTATATAACAATTTTGCATTTCCCCGCCTGCCTTACACAATTCTTTGGAATAGTGTGATATATGGATAACATTTTACAACCACTTTGCAGCTTGACTTGGTGTGGCTTGATAATAAGGGAGAGGGATGAGATAATAAGAGAGAATAAACTTGGCCCTTCCAAGTTTATTTTCAATTTCTTGTTGAGGTGTCAGTTTATTAACACCCTGTATTTGCACCTCTCTGCTCACTTACGAAACTTTATTTAGAGCAGCGGTCGCCAACCACTGGTCCGAGTACCACTGGTGGTCCGTGAGATCCGAAAGGTTGGTGACCGCTGTTTTAGAGCACTCTCTTCCCCCCTATTGTTTCTGAGACTTTTCTTCTTCAGAAAGGGAACAAAAGGAAGAAGAGAAAGATCAGAAGAAGAGAAATACACGCTTTTAAAATATATATACAGTTGATTTTCATTATTCCCAGTAGTTACGTTCTGTAACAGCGAATTTCAATCTTTTTCATCTCATGGCACATAAAAACTAATTGCTAAAATTCTGTGGCATGCCAAAAATATATTTTTTGCCAATCTGATATAATTTTAATTCATACTGGATGGCTATTGTGTTAGCTGTTATCATTTTTTTACTGGACAATTTAAGGGAAAAGAGATCAGTGCCCCTGATTAAATAGTCAGGTGTTGCATGTTTTTGTTTTGCTTTTGTTTATCCTCACCTGAGGATATTTTTTCCCTTGCCCTTTTTCTTTTTTTTTTTTTCAAAGAGAGTGGAAGGGAGGGAGGAAGGAGGGGAGAGAGAGAGAAAGAGAAACATCGATGTGAGAGAGACACACATGCCTCCAGCATGTGCCCCGACCAGGTGCAACCCAGGTACATGCCCTTGACTGGCAATCAAGCCAGCGACTCTTGCACAGGCCGACACTCTAACTGCTGAGCACACTGGCCAGGGCAGGTATTGCATGTTTTAAAAATTCTTGAGCACACCAGTTGAAAATCACTGTTCTATAAAGTTGCTATGAACACTGAATTAGTGAATACTAAACCAGTGCTCCTACGGGAAACACAAGATTAGGTTCCTGTGAGCCTTTAGTCACAAGCTTTTCATCAACTGATAAATATATAACCTTGTTTTATGGGCATTTCTGTTCAGAGACATCTTATTCAATATACTATATGGTTGATTCAGTAACATTAAATGCATGGCAAACAGCACTATAACTCACCTGGACAAAGCTATAAAAGTTTGTGTATTCTCCATAGGCACATCACAGACTTTGTGCACTTAGGAGCACCAGCTAACACTCCAGCATCACGCTTGGGGACCATTTTACACAGTAAAAATCACTCCACCAAAAGCACAAAAATGTGAAGAATGTGGCACTCCATAGACTGTGAAAAGGACACTTGTTCACAGTGTGAGAGCTGAAACAAGGCCTAGTGTTGCCTTGTTTGATCTCAGTGGGGAATGTGCATGTTTGGTGACTCAATTTCTTACTTTTTATATTTTTTTGTGTGACTCAATTTTTTGCAGCTTTGCACATATCCAGGAATGACCCTGAAAGTGCACAGCAAATATTGATTTTGGAGTTAATAAATTTTAGCTAGTAGGCAAATTTGGCCATTAGCAAGGATCAACTATACATGGCTTTTAAATTAAATCGCAGAAAACTTTTGTGTATTTCATTATGTTTTGAAAACAAAAGAGATCACTTCTATTTCTGAACTTGATATAGATGGATGGATGGATGGATGGATGGATGAACGGATAGATAGATAGATAGGTAGGTAGATAGATAGATAGATAGATAGATAGATAGATAGATAGATAGATATAGAGTGGCATATGTTGGAGGAGATTAGGATAAAATGGCATCAGTTATCCACTGTTTTCTTTTCATTTTTATGCCTACTTTTAGTTTTAAGGCAAGAATTGAGCAGTTTGTGAATTTCAAATTATCTGGGACCTTTATTAAAATCTTAAGCAACTCAGTTTGTTAAGACTACTTTTAGCCCTGACTGGTTTGGCTCAGTGGATAGAGCATCGGCCTGCGGACTCAAGGGTCCCAGGTACGATTCCAGTCAAGGGCTTATACCTTGGTTGCGGACACATCCCCAGTGGGGAGTGTGCAGGAGGCAGCTGATCGATGTTTCTCTCTCATTGATGTTTCTAACTCTCTATCCCTCTCCCTTCCTCTCTGTAAAAAATCAATAAAATATATTTTTTTAAGAAAAGACTACTTTTAATTTTGAAAAACCTATTATTGGGGAAGGAGCTGTTGACATACATATTTTACTCCTATGCGCTTTTTAAAAAAATTTTTTTTTATTGATTTCAGAGAGAGGGATAGAAACATCAATGATAAAAGAAAGTCATTGATTGGCTCCCTCCTGCACGCCTCACACTGGGGATCGAGCCTGCAACCCGGGCATGTGCCCTGACCGGGAATCGAATCGTGACCTCCTGGTTCATAGGACAGTGCTCACCCACTGAGCCACACTGGCCAGGCCGTCCTATGCACTTTTTAAATTACTAACTCCTGCCTTTTTGTTTTAGTGGGTTTTAGTTTTACTGTATCTATGTGTTTTGTTGCAAGCTGCCTGAAATCCTTTTTTGAAGTAGGTAAAGTATATATAAATACATTAATTAATAAAAAGAATTTCATGTGACTGTTCTCTTTAGGATGGGGATGTCTATAGACACATCTTCTAAAATAAAAAGGTAGAATCTCCAATTTGGGGCCATCATGTTATTGTATAAGTTTTATTCTGACTGGCCTTTCTTCATACTTTAACACAATGTAAATAGAAAAACTTTTTTAATTTTGAAATTATTCTTCCATCTAATATTGTGCATTGGTTCCATAGGCTTTGTAGCTGAACAGTTTCTAAATAACACAGCCACTCAACTGACATACCATGGATTATGTGAACTAACTTCAACGGTTCAGGAAGGGGAACTTTGTGTCTTCTTTCGGAATAATCATTTTAGCACCATGACCAAATACAAGGTATGATATAGAAATAACTGTTTGTTAATTGAAATTAAAGGAACTTGATTTAGAAATGTCTTATCTACTTCAAAATAAAAAAATTTAGCATAATATTCCTTAACCATTAAATTATGAAGGTAATTATTAAATACTTTTTTAGGATAGAATGGATTAGCTCAGTGATGGCAAACCTATGACACGTGTGTCAGAGGTGACACGCGAACTCATTTTTTTGGTTGATTTTTCTTTGTTAAATGGCATTTAAATATATAAAATAAATATCAAAAATATAAATCTTTGTTTTACTATGGTTGCAATATCAAAATATTTCTATATGTGACATGGCACCAGAGTTAAGTTAGGGTTTTTCAAAATGCTGACACGCTGAGCTCAAAAGGTTCGCCATCACTGGATTAGCTATTTAATTGATACTTCAGAGGCATCTGAGGCATTACTTCAAGTGGAAATGTTCAGAAAATGGTTCAAGACTGGAATAATTTTTGTGTACAAATAGTAATTTTGGCATAGGAGGAGATTTACAAGAAAAATATGGCATAAGACTAAAAGAGAGGGCCTTGGACAGATTTGAGGAGTGCCAACATTTAAGAATAGCTAGAGGAGTATGAACTAGCAAAGGAGACTGAGAAAGAAAAAAATAAAAGGAAAATCTAAAGAATATAGCATCATGTAAGCCAAAAGGGAGATAGTGTATCAAGAAGAATGGAGATCTCAGTTATTAAATGGTGGTGAGAGAATACTGGAGAAGAGTCCATTAACGATATGGATTTCATTGGTATCTTAGAGAATGGTGGCAGCAGGAAAAACTCAATTTGAATTGGTTAATAAATGCTTGGGATGTCAGAAACTAGAAACAGATTAAGCACCTCTTTGAAACAGTTCGGGAGCGGGCAGAGACATAATGGCTCATAGCTGTATTGGAATCCAGGGGATGTTTTTTATTTTTTAAAATGAGAGACTTAATCATGTTTAAATATAGACGGACTCAATAGAGAAAGGATAAGGATTTAGGAGAGGGGTATTTGATGTTGGGAGGCTCCTAAGAGAGTGCAAAAGGATAGGAATGTTCACAGGTGAAGGAGATTGACCCTTGTTTTAAAAAAGACCTCTTCACCCCTAGCTGGTTTGACTCAGTAGATAGAGCGTCAGCCTGCACACTGGAGGGTCCTGAGTTCGATTCCAGTCAAGGGCACGCGCTCAGGTTTCGGGCTCAATCCCCAGTGTGGGGCATGCAGGAGGCAGCCGATCAGTGATTCTCTCTCATCATTGATGTTTCTATCTATATCTCCCTTTCCCTTCCTCTCTGAAATCAATTTAAAAAAAAAAAGTCCTCTTCATTGTAAAGGAGAGAAAAAATAGACTGTGAGTATAGCTACAGGGAGATTTACAGATTTGAGGGCAGGAAGTAGAGGAAGTTACTGTGAATGCTTTTGTTTGTTATGTGGAAGGCAAGATCATTTACTGAGACTGAGTGGGACGGTTTGGTTTCATAGAAGGAGAGTTTGAAGTAGTCTTTGCAGCATGTGGGAGAAAGCTGTAACGAGGGAAATTGAGAAGAATCACCAGACATTGTTGGGAGTGGTAATTATTACTTGTGTAATTTTTTTGCAGGAGTATCTGTCAGGGTACATTCATGGAGAAGGTGGCTAGTTTGTTATTCTAGATTTGGGACTTTGTAAGTGGGTGCAACAAAGAGTAGAAGAGCAAAGAAATTCGGGGACATGATGGTATTATGAACATGCTGATATTGTCCAAATTTATAAATGTTGTATAGAACAAATAAAATACTATTCTTCATTAAGGTGATCTTATTTATATAGAGGGATAAGTGGGAACAGCTCTCCTGGTGGCCATTGTTTACTATATTGACAGCCAAGCTGAAATAGTAACACTGTTTCTTTGTTTGTTTGTTTGTTTTTTGTTTTTTTAAATTTTGTTTTATTGCTTAAAGTATTACAGAGAGTATTACATATGTCTCCTAGGAACACTGTTTTTTGAGTTTTGTTTTGATGAAAAATTGCAAACTTACAGAAAAATAACAAGACTAATTCAATGTGTGCCTATTATACTCATCTTTTTAAACAATTTTTACATGATACTATTTTCATCTTTTTGCTTATATTTCAATATACATATTTAAACAACATTTCCATTCAAATAAATCACAGTACCATTGTTTCATCTAACAAAATTAACTATAATTTTAATATAATCTAATACCCAGTCCATATTCAGATTTCCCATTTCTCCCCATGTAGTTTTATGGTCGATTTGTTCAAACCAGGCTCTCATCAAGGACCATGCATTACATTTGTTGAATTAACTCCATTTTAATATGATGTAAATCTTGTGTTTTCCAGGGGTTTTATGGGCCTTTGTGCTATTTATTTATGCCCCTATTATAATCCTCTCCATCCTATTTCCTACATTCCTATTGGACCTGGGGTGGGGCGGGAACCTGGTGGAAGGGGGAGTGGGGGGAGGAGAGGGACATCTGTAATACTCTCAACAATACAGTTAAAAAAAAAAAAAGAACTATAATTCCAATCCTAACAGTCTTTAAATAAGACACTGCTTTACTTCTGGCAGAGTACCCAGTGAGTACATTGCTTAGACGAATCAGAGACACTTTTCCCTCCTCATTGATCTAGCAACTAATTAACTGGATTTACAATAAAATCTACACTTCTTTGGCTGTTGCTGTAGAACTAGAAGCCCTAACGGAACAATTTCATAAAACTTAGGAAGGGGTTCCTCCAAAATGGTATCAGCCCTAGCCAGTTTGGCTCAGTGGATAGAGTGTCGGCCTGCGGACTGAGAGGGTCCCTGGTTCGATTGCGATCAAGGGCACATGCCCGGGCTGCGGGCTCAATCCCCTGTGTGGAGAGTGCAGGAGGCAGCCT